CTCTCTCTCTCTCTCTCTCTCTCTCTCTCTCTCTCTCTCTCTCTCTCTCTCATCTACAGATAGTAAAACTTTTCAATTTTTAGCATTAAGTAATAAACTATAAATTCATAAATATAAAGATTAATAATTAAATCAATTTGTAATATACAATAAACTTTTTTCTTCAAGAACGACGATACATTTCTTTTTTCCATCAAGTGACAGTGTATATAGGATGTTCCGCGTAAGACGTGCCAAAAGAAAAATATAAGTAGAACATAAAAATGAACAGATAAAAATTGTAAAGGTCATTTTTCAAACAACCACGTAAAATTTCGAGATATTAATTAAAATGGTTAGGCATATCAGAGTGCGGAGACGCGGCAGGCGGGACATACGGCTCGCTGCGGCCGGCGAAGAAAATGGACGAACGCATACGTACACGGACATACCCATAGTGCTACCCATTTCCAAACGGCCCACCTCTCTGACCTATAAGATAGGTCCGCGAGCAATCGTCCATTTTTTTCGCCGGCCGCGGCGATCCATATGTCACCGGCTGCCGCGTTCTAATATGTCTAAATATTTTAATTAATATCTCGAAATTTTACGTGATTATTTGAAAAATGACCTCTACAATTTTTGTTCACTTTTATCTGTTCTACTTATATTTTTCTTTTGGCACATCTTACGCGGGACACCCTGTATATATATATATATATATATATATATATATATATATATATATATATATATATACACACACACACACACACACACGTGTGTGTGTGTGTGTGTAAAATTACAGTCTCTTCGAAGTATAATAATAAATCAATGATACTGATTGCAAACCACATTTACGATCTTTTACGGAATATACATATTATATCGAGATAAAAGTACTTCGAAAGCTACTGTATAGATCATATATATTTATCGAAGAAACAAGATGAAATATTTCTGATTTAACCCTCGTTTTTCGCTCTTTATCTCGTGAAAGCCGTTCTTTTGAACACTGGTCGAAGTTAATCGAGATACAACCGATTCTTCGTTTCTTTCCAATCCTATATATCCGCTTAAAATTAATTCGACTAATGAAAGTAATAACGATCTTTTGGAGAAATTATTTAAACAATGCTGAAATTTCTGTATGGTCAATTTCGTTAATTATTTTTAGAAAGACGAAAAATTGGTTAGATATCAGTCATTTGAAGAATTCTAGTGCTTTAATACGCTTTTCCATGAGTTCAAGGAATTTTATCTTAAAACTACATATTATCTGTTGTATCTTACAATAATTATTTAATTTACATCTGAAAACAAGGAGAGAGAGAGAGAGAGAGAAAGAGTTAAATCTAAATCAATTTTCTTGAAAAAGCGAATTAAACCACTTTCTCGCTGAAACCTTCATTCCGATTAATGTTCATAGCAACGGCACTAATAAGTGTTGCCATACACGATAGCGAATCCGATGAGTCCCAGGCTCTTGCGCACTGCCAGCAACAATATTTGGCGCAAACCATAACGATACGAGAACCTAACGATTATTCTCCGTGCGCTATCTAAACCCTCTGAATTTCGAACAACTTGACATCCGTGTCGTACCATATGGGTGGCTCGACATTTCTAAGATATATCACACCCCACATGTACGTGCGGAACCACGCAGTTGTACCAGGGTTAGCCTGATATCGCCTGATAAGAATAGGATGTGGTACCGGTAGCAAACCGACTAAGGTACCGTGTTGCAGGAATTTCAAGATCTCGCTCTCGTCAGTCAGTCCCCTGTAGTATTAATCGGATCAATAAAAAACGTGAACAGACAATGACGCTGATTATTATTGCTTTGTAGGACCATTTTTTGGCTGTCGGAAAAAAACATTTAAATTTGAAAAACTATCTTGGCTTTTGTGTTACTAAAAAAGAAATAGACATAGATTTAAGCGTTTTTTTCCTGAAACTGGAAGAACAATTTAGGATTCTACTTACTTGTCGATACAGATCTTTTCAACCTGCGGCACAAGCACCTGAAGCAGTCGCATGATGGTCTGCAAGGGAAGCTTGCTCTTCCACTGGTATACCCAGTCGCTGGATGGTACCCATTGATTCACGTTGTTAACATTGGAATTATTTGTCTGCTCTGCCACACGAATGCCTCCCTTCTGCTCGGAATTAAATAGATTTTGGTCATTGTTACTCGTGAGAAAATTAGCCACAAACGTGCATCGACGTAATTCTTACCGGTACCACGGAATTCTTGATCACGCTCGTCGAATCCTCCTCCATATCGTTTGGTGTCTTGCTGTCGCGATTGTTGATGGACTTACCGATGTCGACGCTTGCTGCTGGACTCAGCGGATGCGCTGATTCTTTCTCTGTCATCTTTTCGATACCTGTTTTATCGCAATCAGCTTGTGTATTTCCAGAAAATGAACATTTCAGATAGACGAAAAGACGGCAGGCCAGTGAAAATATGGGAGAGAAATATTCGTATTCCACGCTGCTTCTCAACAAAGTCGAACACCAAAGAAAACTCACCTGGAGTCTCCAATAAGGACGCCTTCAAAGTACCGGGCTCAGCAGGTTGCGCGGGATGCGATCCTTCCATCGCAGCTTCGCTGACGTTCTCATTGGATGTGCTGGCGGGTACATGACGACGCTGTCTCTTACTAAGAGACTTTGCGATCGTGTTGCAGTCGCTGGGCAGGTTTGCGAGCGCATGAAACACTTGCCGCTTGCGTATTATAGTGTAGACTAAGTTGCTGTTCCCATCGAACTGATACTAAAAATGAAAAACACATAGAATGGAAGTGATTGTCCATCTATTTGTCGTTCTTTCATCGCGATCGCATTTACTTGGATAATATTGTTGAAAATCTCCAATAAAAAGAACACCAAGTGGTGATTAGTGGGCGCTGAGAACAAGAACCACGGTGTACTGAATGCCTCCAATAAATGCAACAACTTTGTGCTAGCTACCATAGACAAGGTTTTTAAATACGGCGAAACATTGACCAAGATTGTCAGGAGACAGTCGAATAACGGTTGCAGTCTCTGGTGGCCAGTCGTGATGATTTTATGGAATACAGTGACTAAAAGATCAGCATGCGTTCCTAAAATGTAACAATTCAAGTGTACCAAAGCGCAACTCAAAGAGATAAGTTTAATAATGACAATCAATTACTTATGACTGAAATCATTGGATACGATAATTGATGTTATCATACCTGTGAAAACGGGTATATCCATAGGCACTGTAGCTGTATATGGCTTATTCAGTCTCACTCCGAAATTGCGCTCTCCGCTCAAGAGAAGCAAGATAAATACACCGATATGCATCAAGCCAACCCGTGCTAAAATTTAATTCATTAGAAAATTATTAAAGAAGTTAATTTGTTTTCCCCAATTATTGTGCGAACGTAAGAATAAAAAGATGAAAATTTACATTGGTCAGCGCGCGAATCATTTAAATGATAAAGTATCGGCACGAGAACCTCGAGAACGTCTGAGCTCTTCAACACGTAATACAGGAACTTCTTGTTATAATCGCACATCTTCCAAAAGAAAACCAACAATTCCTGATGAAAATGCACCTTCTTGGTCGAATTCGGTAGATAAGTTTGCATTAAGGGATTGTTCAACAACCTGGTGATACCCCTTAAGACAAATTGAAAATCTGTGGACAGAAAACAGTGACGTATTTTGCACAGAACGATTCTAACTTGGTAAAATAATCTACAGATGAAGTCAAAGCTAATGAGAAAGCTGAGATCTAGCATGATAAATTGTGATGAAAGAGGATATTACCTTCATCGCGATGAATTCGACTCAAATAATTGATGAACAAGTTGTCTCCGATCGTGCCTTCCTCCAACGGCGCTCCGCCGGTAGTATCGTGATCCAGAGTCACGATTAGAATCTGCAGCGCGACATCGACTAGAGGCTCCAAGGAATCGGTGAACAGTAAGTGATTATATGGTACTCCATAACCGACTGGATCATACGCACATACAGTGTTCAGCAGTGATGTGAACATGGGCAATACATGTCTACGAATAATCACAAGTAATTTGATACATATTATGTATACAATTAATGGCTGTGTTCAATAGAGAAAATTGCCACGCAACTGTAAAATTCGTGAATCTCACTGGTATTCATGCTCTTAGTCAAGATTTAGAGCATTCAGTTAAGATTAAAAGTATATATACCAATCAAATTTATAAATTGTACAACAGTTACAAAGCAACCTTTTCTCTGTTGAGCAAAGCTATTGATTACATACAAAATATATATTAAATTTTATTTCATAGTAAAAATATATATGTAATCAACAGTTATATTTATACTGCTATTATTTATACTGCTAAACGCAGCCAGTATGGTACTTGATCAAAATAGATTACCTGTTTTCGCTGCTGGTTAAGTGTTGAATCCATCTGTTTGGCATGACCGACAGATCCACTGGCGGATTGTACATTGTTTCACTGAAGCATGTCAACAGAAGTTTCAGCAATTCCGTACGGTTCGAGTCCAGAATGGGGTATCTGGGTGGTGAATACGCGAAACCTACTCCTGCTTCCCAGATATATTCGCAACTGTCTATAGTTTGTAGCTCTTCAGCTTTATCCTGCAAAGACGAACGACTTTAGTAAGATACCACGATTCCTTGTTACACTTTTGATAGCTAAGATATCACAGACTTACCGGCCCTGACTTTCTACTAGCAGCTACAGTAAAATCAGGACAAAACAATAAATCCTGAAAAACAAAGATATAGGTTACTTTGGACATAATCCCTTTTGTTAGACTACTTATACCAGTTAATATATAATTAATAGAAAAAATGCTCTATTCTAGTAGTATACTTGAAATATTTTACACAAAGTGCATTCAACAGGGAATGGGCCAATGGTAAACTCTCTTCATTATCTTTCCCAGGCAGGCTGGACCAGAAAAAGCCTTTCCAATCAGAATCCTCAAATATGTAAGGTAACAAACGTGTAAGTAAGCGGCAGCAGTTCAGGACAGTCTGATGTTCTCGCTGAGTCCTGCAGCTACTGTCTACTGCCTTGACTAACTTCTCAACTGCCTTGTAACACAATGTTGCCAAGTTGGAAGGTGCTTCTTCCCTCAATATACGAATCTCTGGAGCCGGAATCAGAGTGAAGATGTCCTGAACATTCGTAACGTTCTCGGACCAAAACTGATCCCAAAATGTATCGTCTGATGCGTCAATCACCTGCAAAATAATATGAATTATTAATAGATTTTTAACTGTGGCAGATAGTATCAGACAATATCACCATAGACTAGCGATATTATAAGTTTTCCAGTAGTTTGCAAAACCTTGTTTCTCAACAGAAAGAAAATAATTCAAAAATTTCTTTTAGCTTTTAATATATGACTTTTAATATATAGTTTACATGTAGTTTAACATATAATCTAATATATAGTTGTACATTTAATTATACAATTAATTGTAAACTTAATTGTATACCGTAATATCACAAATTTTACTTTCTAGGTATACTCGTGACGAATTATCATTGTAAATCAATAATTTTGTTAAAAATTGCCTTTTTATTGACCTGTCAACCAATCATATGTTATTTGATCGGACAATAAACAATAGACGTTTTTACCTGAGTTTTCGACGTCAATTGCACTACAGCCTTACGGAAATTTAGTTTTGTGTCGGCGTTGCCCATTGTAATCGTCGCCCTTATCCGTTCAACAATTAAGCTCTGTTATAGCAAAAGGAGTAAAAACGCTTCGAAACTCTTCAAACGAGCACCATCGTCGCCATGTTTGTATAGTGACAGCAGCTGACTTTAGAGCTGCGTTCCAAAATTCTACTCAGTGAGTAGAGTACATTTAATTGACCAATTATGATAAAGAAATTCTAGTTATCTTTGTTCTTATTGGTCAATGAAATGCTACTCTACCCGTCGAATAGAGTTTTGGAACACAGCCCAAGACTTCACGACTTCAATATATGACTGAGGGCACCTAACTTGAGCAATGGCGTTGGGGCATGAGTCACTGATACGCCTCTAGCCAAATATTGAAGGAAGGAAGGAAGGAAGGGCACCTAACTTTAGTGACCCTACGATATTGCTCCGACCAATGACGTATACACCTAGACTCTTTGATTATATAACCATGGACTGCTAGCGGCGATTCTAATGCAGGATTCACATCGCATCCGATGTCCGACGTACGACGTCCGATATCCAATAAAAGAATAGCTTTCCAATGGAGAATTGAATTCTATATTAGAAAGCTGTTCTCCTATTGGATATCGGACGTCGTACGTCGGACATCGGACGCAGTGTGAATCCTGCATGGCTGCGTTCAGAAACCCTACTCGGTGAGTAGAGTAACATTTAATTAGCCAATCAGAGCAAAAGGAACTAAGATTTATTTATTATGATTGGTTTATTAAAGTAACTCTACTCATCGAGTAGAATTTCTGAACATAGCCCATAAGGGTGCTATTTCACGTGTCGTACGACAAGCTTTTCGGATACGTTTATTGGTTGGCGAATAGAGTATTTCTAGGTTCTCTGTTCGTCAACCAATGAATGTATCCAAAAGCTTGTCATACGACACGTGAAATATCAGCCTAAAGCAGGATTCACACTGCATACGACGTCCGATATCCAATAAAAGAATAGCTTTCCAATAGATAATTGAATTCTCTATTAGAAAACTGTTCTCCTGTTGGATATCGGACGTCATACATCGGACATCGGACGCGGTGTGGACGCGTTCGGTATAAACATACTATATGAGATTAAACTTATTAATAACTAACATTTTTTGAAAATTAACTATCTGATGCTCACGTTATCCGCTATGCTACTCTAACTCTAACTAACTCTACTCGAGCATCGGAAAGCAGTATTGAGTTGTCTTGAACGATGAAGATACTAGATGGTTGTGCCTATTACATTTTTCGATCCTGGAACTAACTCGTACTCGATTTAACGTAAACACCCTAATTGCTCCTGCACACAGGACACGCAGCGGAAGTTTGCACGACAGCCAATCAATATGCTGCTTTCCGTAATAACCTTCTAGCTCTTACGGAAAAACAACATATTAATTGGCTGTCGCGCGGATTTTTGCCGCGCGGTAAGCATTATCGCGTCCTGTATGCAGGAGCCATTAGCAACGTAAACGCTTCTAATATCCGCGTATCACATGGTGATACATATTAGAAAGACCTAATAGTATAGTAGAAGTAATAAAAAGAATAAAGCCAGCGGCACACGATGTTTGTTTTCGTGCTGGATTGCTTGCTGGATGGAAATACTCTATTCTGATTGGTCCGTCTTGAGAAAAATCCTAATCAGAACAGAGTATTTCCATCCAGCAAACAATCCAGCATGAAAACAAACATCGTGTGCCGCTGGCTTTAGACTTTCTTGAAAACCACAAATACTTTAGGTATAACAAAATTAATTATAGAAAATTATGTTAAAATTGTTATGAATTATGAGGGAAAATTAATGAGCCAAAAATGTCAATATATCAGACATAAATTGACAAAAATTATTTTATTTCAAAGACAATAATATACCGTCATTTGGGATAACTTTTATATCGCTGATATGAAAGTTCTATCCGTTTAATGATGCCACATGTTTTTGTAAGCCGTTGCAAATTGTTCAAAGTTACCCCGGTGTTCCAAGTTACCTCAAATAACGGTATTTTAAATAATTTTTTAAAAAATGTTGAACGTTCTTTTTATAATATTATATAATATATATTATATAATATATAATATATATATATATATATATATATATATATATATATATATATATATAATGGGAACGTTACTTTTTAAAAGTAACGCGTTACCATTACCGTTACTTGCGGTAAAAAGTAACTCGTTACTCGTTACTGATTCTAAAAAGTAACGCGTTACCGTTATTTGAAAAGTAACGATAAAAAAATCGTTACTTTCCGTTACTTTTGTAAAAAAAAAAATGTTAAAATCAGCTTATAAAACGAATTATTACCGGTACTTATCCAGTTTAGCGACTCACCTCCTATTTCGATGATAGTAGACTCAATCGACGCGTTTTTGTTAAAGAAACAACTTTTTCCTATGACAAAATCGTCGCTCTCTACTGCGAAGCGAGAAATTAATTGTTAAAGATGTTAGGTATGATAGGTTAAGAAACCGGGAGCGGTGCACTTGGACACGGTGCATTTGGACACAGCCAATCACAGCACCGTGTGATTAGAGACATTTGTAGGGTCCCTTGGAACAGCAACTTGTGATTGGACCGTGTCCAATTGCCCCGTGTCCAACTGATATACACCCAAGAAACCA